GCTGGCAAACAAGACGTTAAGGGACATATATACTGGTTTGAGAGAAAATCGGGAGGTATTAGTAGCTTGGTTGAAGCACAATGCTGCAACCCTGCCGCCATATGCTGCACCAAAGAATCATTGAGTTGTGCCTAGTGACTTATTATGATTTCTGTTTATCTATCTTAATGTATTTGGTTATTGTGTGTCATGACGATGTGTTTAATGATTGTGTGTTTAATGACTTTGTTTAATGTTGTGTGCTTTATGACTACGTTTAATATTGTGTTTCATGACTATGTATAATTATTATGTACAGTTTAATGGCTATTTATCACTTATCTTTTCTCTCCGTTTTTTTTTTTGTGAAAATGCTACTCACATTTGGTATTTAACTACTCACAAATAACATAATCTATGTCTGATTCAACGACGGGTTGGGGCGAGGGTTGGGATGACGAACGGTCTCAATTACTTCCTGCTTTACATGAACACACAACACAAGTATCACAGCTAAGTGTGTTAATGGGTTAGTATGTGACACCTTTTCTATGCAAACAGCCATGCAGAACTAGCAAACAAACATGTTATTTATGGGTTCAAGAACTTTTGCACGGGCATGAAGGACAGTCTAAGGAAATGTTTCTAATGGAAACAGAGACATTACATCAATTATGTTCTAAATTGGTTGAACATGGGTTGCAAAATTTTAAGTACATAGGTGTCCATGAATCTGTTGCCATGTTCTTGAATACAATTGTGCATGGTCAGTGTAATAGAATGATTCAAGAAAGGTTTCAACGTTCAGGAGAAATTGTCAGTCGGCATTTTCATAAAGTGTTGGATGCTTGCCTCAATTTATCTTGAGAAAATATCAGGCCCACTAAGTGCCACCCAAAAATAGCAAATGGTCCACGATACTTTTCATTTTTTAAGGATGCACTCAGCACAATTGATGGCACCCACATAAAATGTCAAGTTAGTCAAGCTAGGCAAGACAAATATATTGGGAGGAAGGAATTTCTGAGTCAAAATGTCATGGGCGTATGCGATTGGGATATGTGCTTCACATTCGTGTTGGCAGGCTGGGAAGGTAGTGCACATGATGATAGTGTCTTTCAATCTGCTATTTCAACTCCATCCATGAATTTCCCTCATCCACCTGAAGGTATGTTTCTGTAAATTTCAAATCAATTATTTTAAAATTAAGCTTCAATTGCATTATTTTCACCTCAACATAATTGAGTCATGATTTTCTAGGCAAATTTTATTTGGTTGATGCTGGTTATTCATCACAAGTGGGATACCTTGGCTCGTACAGACGTGAGCACTATCACCTTCCAGACTTTAATCGTCAGCCAAGATTTAGAAATGAGAATGAGGCCTTCAATTATTATCATTTAAGTTTGAGATGCACTATTGAAAGAACTTTTGGGGTTTGGAAGAATAGGTTTGCAATCTCAAGAGACATGCTCATATTCAAGTTTCAAGCACAGGTCCGTATAGTTTGTGCAACAATGGCTGTCCATAATTTTATCAGGCAAAATTCTCCAATTGATGACCGCTTTATACAAGCTGAGCGTGAAAGTATAATAGATGAAGACAATAATCATCCAGCTGGCGAGGCATCCTCGTCAAGTTTAATATCTACCGCACAAATGAATCGTGTTTGTGACTCAATTAGAGGCCAAATTGTGCAAAGCTTATGATCTAATTAGTTATGTGATTTTATTTACTTTAATTAGAGACCAAATGAATTTTAATTTAATTTATGTTCTTGTTTGTCCATTATATATATATTTAATTAAGTACGATCTAATTACTTATGTAATTTCATTTACTCTAATTAGAGACTAAATGAATTTTAATTTATGTTCATGTTTGTCCATTATATATAGTTAATTAATTATCTACAATGTGTTTTTAAATTTTTTCTGGTAACAAATATTTTTATTTTATAATCTCACAAATAAACTATTTTTATTTTATCATAATAATTTTAGATATTTTTTTTAACAATTATCACATTAAAAATATTAAACACTACTATTCAATAAAGTATATGCCATTTTCAGTCATTTTACAACTGAACTAACTTTTCTATTCATCCAAACAACTTTTAACTTTTCCAACTAACTTTTTAAAAGCACCTATCCAAACATATCATAACTGACTTTTACTCTAATTTTAGTTACAAAAGTCAGTTGGACTAGAAGTCAATTTTGCCTAATATCAATCCAAACATATACAAGATAATGCTAAGACCTGATCATTCCCTTCCAATCTTGTCCATCCCACTGGAGCCATGAGCACTCACACATAAACCAATAAGAAATCACCTCATGATTGGCCTGGGCCAAGGTTTTCCAAATCAAGAGATTTACCTAACTAGATGTATAGAGTTCGTGATTGGAAATTGGGATATGACTCTCTTTTACCTTATGTTTGGTAACAGAAAATTGGAGTAGAGGGGAAGAAAGAGAAGGAATGGAAAATTTTTAATGACTTTGATTTAAAAACTTTGAGAACTGGAATTTTAAAATTTTAATAAAAAGAAGGTGTAACATAAAAGAATAATAACATTTAATTAGAAATTTTTAACCCTACTTTTTAAATTTTTTTAAATCGAACTTATTAAAATTTTTCCTTCTTCATTACTTTCATTTTCTTTGTACCAAATCAACCTAAAGACAAAGCGGATGTATTCAATGCCCCATACTTCATTATAAACCCAACCAAAAACAAAAAATAAAAGGAATAGGGCTCTTTGAGTGCCATCCAACGCGTACAGTGATATGGCGTACTGCAGTATCGCGTGATGGAAAAATACAAGAAATAAATGACCATAACAATCAACCTATCCAACCTAATACAGCAAGCGCATCACCTCGTCTTGCAATATTCACATGCAAGCATACTTGAAGAAATAAAGTTCATAAGTAGCGTAACCAATACAATTTTAATATTAGTTCCGGTCTTTGATACAAAGTTTATTTTGTAATGTAATTTTACACTATAAATTAGATATTATATTTCAAACCGGCAATAGTATAATACTATTTTCAGTTCTTAATATAAGACCTTATTTGAGTTTTATTTTGGTTCTAAATATAAAACCCTAATTCACTTTGTCTTTCATATTTATGTATTTTTCCTAAGATAGTCCTTCTAATGATAGTAGTTTTAGTCAATATACTTGATTAGTAAGGATATTTTAGGAAAGACAACACCTATTTATTACAAATAACTAACTTAACTTACTTCCTTAATCTCTTCAAATTAGTCAACCAGATCTTATAATTAGAACTGGAGATAATTTATAGATATGCTCAAAAACCTTCACACTATTATTTATAGATATGCTCAAAAACCTTCACACTATATTATATATGGCTCTATATACGAGCATGTTTGAAAGGTTTCAAATCAAGATATACATATAAAAGATATTTTATGTGATTCAAACACCATTTCAATCCGAAACATGTTATTTTCAACATTACACGACATATTAAGCCATTCATGAACACAGCAGCCTCACATTAGTTCATGAAATTGAGGATAATAATATTTAAAAAAACAGAGACATCACCCAAAAAAAAAAAAGAAAAAGAAACAGATAGATTTAAACGTAACACCACTTGATGGGTTAACGTTTTCGCACCTTCAACAATTAATGTAAAGAAACAATATTACTTCGCGTCAATATATGATTACAGGGTTAATTAGAGCTAAATTAAATTTAGCCCTCAATCTCCCAGAATTCTAGAGTCAATTGGTTATAACTCTAATCAATCATCATGTATTTGAATATCCCATTACCATACAAATCCCCAAATTTCCCAAAATCTCCATGCTATCATTCCAATTAGGGGTGTTCAAAATAGGTATGTCCCAGTCCCGACTATATTGGGATGGGATGGGACGCGGGATAGGGTCGTCTTGTCCTAATAGCAATATATTTTTTTAATTTTTTTATCTTATTATAATTATTAAATGTTAAAAACACAAAATGTTTAAGGTATATGCAATGCAAAATGTTTATATTTATATTTAGCACATATATAGTTGAATAGTTAGTATTTATCTAGAGTTTTTATGGTTGCTTATGATGTTTGAAATAAAAAAAATGAATTTGGAGTTATTATATTACTAATTATTATTTATTTGGGTTTTTGTTTAAGATGACTAAGCCCGAAAAAGAAAAAAAAAGCTTTCAAAAAGGCTAAGCCCAAAAAACAAAAAATAGAAAGGAAAAAAAAATGAAAATCCATTATAATAACTCAACCAAAAGACAAAAACTTTTTACAATAAAAAAAAATAAAACAGGATGTCGGTCTCGTCCCATCTCAATCAGGACCAAGACAGGATAAGATGAGACATAGAATAGATTTCCTATCCCATCTCTATTCATTAGAACAGAATTGGGATGAGCCTGTTCTGATTCTGTCCCGTTCCACACAGCCCTACCTCCAATTAGGGTCTATTACCCAAATGTATCCGTTACCAAATCCAACCACTAAGCACAAAAGTAAAATGATTAAAATTTAAATCAACTCCCACTAATTATATCTAAACAATCAAGATAAAAGTTCTGTATGAATTAATATTTACTATAAAGAAGCATAAAAGCCATAATTAAAACTAAAAGACCTAATAATAATCTAAACATTATATCTCTTACCAATTTCATTATGCTACGATTTCTTCCTTTCTAAATATGCAGTTGAAATTTAGATGCTGTTAATTTCTTCCCCTTCATACATTCATACAATTACATACAATACAATACATGCATGCTGCTTAAAAACTTCAATCCTCTTAAACAAGTTTTCCCTTTTTTTTTTTTGCCAGCCAATTTTGTTTCCAATTTTATTTCAATGTTTAAATTAAATAATAATAATTACATTACATTAATTAATTATTTTATTTTTTTAAAAAAAAATATGCATATATAACTGTTATTTTAAAAACGATAGCTCCAAATCCATGCTCAATGAACATAAAAATCTTCAGGGGGCCGACGTTGTGGTTTAACGGAGGTTTCATCATCCTCTTCTTCAGCGTGAAGGCGCATTCGTTCCATTACCTTCTTACCCTCCCTGCCTCCCTCCCTCTCTCTCCACAATGACGTTGGCTACTTCCTTTGCCAGCCCTCATGTCCACCCTTATCCCAACACTAGTAGAAGTTGCCTTCTTCCTATCAGAAGAAAATCTCACAAGAACCGTCGCTTTCTCTTTATCTCACCCTCCACCACTCTCTTTGCTTCACTTCCTGCTACTTCTTCTTTCAGTATCAAGTCTGTTTCTAATCCAGTTCAATTTCGCCCTTTATCGGACTCAATACATGATGATTTAATGGAAGACCTCGAGAATTCCCTCGCTTCTTTTGCTACCGTGAACGGAGTTCATCAAATTGAGGCCCCTGAGTCGTCCTCGGGCTTATTTATCCACGAACCACCTTGGTTTTCCTCCCTCTTTTTGAAAGGTTTGTACTCGGAAACTAACCAAGAATTTAGATTGGAGTTTAAGGAAATTGAGAAAAGAAAGTATAATTTGCTGAGGAGAAGGCAGATTAGAGCCGAGACGGAAGCTTGGGAAAGGATGGTGGAGGAGTATAGAGAGCTTGAAAGAGAAATGTGTGAGAAAAACTTGGCTCCTAATTTGCCAAAGGTGAAATCTTTGTTTTTGGGGTGGTTTGAACCGCTGAAGGAAGCTATAGAAGCTGAGCAGAAGTCGCAGAGGTCAAAGAAGAAAAAGGCTGCATATGCACCACATATTGATTTGTTGCCTGCATCCAAAATGGCGGTTATTGTCATGCATAAGATGATGGGTTTGGTGATGCTGGAGCTTGAGGTGGGGTGTGTTCAGGTTGTTCAGGCTGCAGTTCAGATTGGTATGGCTATAGAACAAGAGGTAATTGATAAAAGTTCCTTTTAACTTAATTACATTTGAATGTTTTGAACTAATTATTAGTATTGGGTAAATCCCTGTTCTCTCTCCAATATTTTAAGCAGCTGAGTAAAGGTTATTTCCATATATATTAGCACGTGGTTTGCTGTTTACGTAATACTTGTCCTTGTCCAGTCTGAGAATTTCGTAGTTCCCCCTTTATGTGTGTCTCACATGTGCCTCAACTACGTTAGATGCACGAACTCCCTCCGTCTTACGATTTTCATTCAGGTGCCTCTTTGATCACAAGGGATATACCATGGGAGTTAAATTTCTCCTCTAGCAACTGTACCCTGAAGAGGAGCAGGACGTAGTGGAATTCAGCTGCTTAATTACCCGTAGTCAGAATGCAACTTGCTACACATGGGGATATTTACATATCTCTGTGCTATTGTTAGCTTTTAGGCTATGAACATTTGCTGGCACCATGTACATATTAGTTTTGTACTCTTGTTGATCACCTGCCATATATGGGACTTTTTCTGCCAGGATTCTCAAACGTATAGTACTTTTTAGCACTAGCTTCCTTTGGTGCCAGTCATGCCACAGGGCACCATGATTTATCCATCCTCTTTATCATATTTTTTTTCTAAACATGCATTTACAGGTAACACTGGTTTCTGCTTAGCTTATCCAATTAATGCATTCACTTGAAGTATGCAATGAAAACCCTAGTTTTGATCTGCCAGTACGTTCTGACCACTACATTACCGAAAAAATTGATGTTAAAAGATAAAATAATATTCATAAAAGCAGAACTTAAAACTATAATATATTCTTACAATTTCTCCTTGAAAGTAGTACAAGCATGTTCTTTATCAATGAATCATCTAGTTTTGACTTTGGTGGGTTGATGTAGACTCAGGTAGTACGTGATGACTAAGTCCCACATTGAGTAAAATGATATGTTCAATGGAGTATTTAAGTGGGTTTATCTTACCATCTCAATAGCTAGCTTTTGAGGGAGTATTATTTATCCATAGAGCATCCCATACTACTCCATGTGGGACTTGATACATCCCATACTTTGTGGAACTGAGGAAGCCTCTACTACCTCACCTTAGTTTCCATCAATTGGCCTCCCTGGGAAGCCAATAACATGATGGCTACTATTTTAGAACCAACTGTAGAGCTTCCTATTCTGCTTCATGTGGGATTTAGAGGCATCCCATACCATACTAGTGTATTACCTTATCTCCGTAGTGTGTCTCTCTTTCTACCAACAGGGGAGGGAGGGACTGAGAGTTGTTTTGTTGAGGTTTTATTCCATTTCTTTGAATCACTTATGATTGGTTGTTTTGGTGTATTGTAGTTTCATCATGACTTTAGAAAAGGATACATCCTTTCTCAACGAGCTCTACTTATGTAACAAATTAGTCTCAATGTGTTACAGGTTAGGATTCATAGATTTCTGGAGAAGACTAGAAGACACAATGGTAAAAAGGCAGCGGCTGTTTCTGAGGATGGCCTTAATAATGATAAAGAGAAAATAAGGAAACGTGTAAATGGTTTGATCAGAAGGAAAAGAATGAAAGAGGTGCAGTTGCTATTGAAGAAAGAAGAATTTAGTCCTTGGGGACGTGATACCCAGGCTAAGGTTTGTGTGCATGTATATTTGTAACTTCATCATTTTTTTTAATTTTTTGTTTTAACCCTGTAATTTAATAGTGACCTTATGAAAAATGCAGCTGGGATGTCGATTAATACAATTATTGATTGAGACAGCATATCTACATGCTCCACCTGATCAGTCTGCTGATACTCCACCTGATATTCGACCAGCATTCATGCATAGGATTAAAGCTATATCAAAATATCCAGGGTGAGGGTTCAGTTTTTAATTTTCCTTTTTAATCAAGAATCCTTACTCTAGGACCTGAACTCCTAGCAAAATTGTCAGATAAGGGAAGTTACAGGTTGGCTGTTCTGTGGTAGAATGTGCCTGAGTAGATGTGTCCTGGATGGTTCTTGCTTTTCTCTCTTTCCCTCCCATCATACCATGTATTATTCTCAACACAAGTACCTGAACAGAGGCCATTGGCCTTCAGTTTAGAAGTATTGAGAGTATGAGGTGTGACCCTTGCTAAAGGAAAATGAAAGAATAAAACTGAATTTAAAAAGGTTCACTTGCTAGTGATTACAGATGTTTTAAAATTGTTGACGAGAAGAATCACTGCAAGGACGGTTCGCAAAGGTTGATTAAAGTTCTTTTGGAATAGTACTATCTTATTTCTTATGTAATTCTGAATTGCTGCTTGGTACATGTAGGCAAAAGATTTTGAAGAATCATGGCGTTATAGAGTGTGACCCCTTGCTCCTGGCTGGGCTTGACAAATCTGTGAGTTTAGAAATCATGTTTTTTTTAATATATTTTTTTTATTTGGCCATTTCAAGCTGAACTGCAAGGTTGTAATAAGCTTTTTCCTGAAAATGAATTTATGATAAACCCATTATTATCTGTAACAATATCTATGATTTCTTCTAAGCATGATTTTAAGGTATTTTAAACTTCTGATAGTGCTAATGCTTACAGAATTAGCAATATACACCATAAACCGTGAATATATATTTCTTGCTTACTAATTCATGCCTTTGTTTTTGTGCAGGCTAAGCATATGTTAATACCTTACATGCCTATGCTAATACCTCCTAAGAAGTGGAAAGGGTATGGCAAATATAATGGGATATACTGTTGTATTTTACTTGAATAGCCTGCATTTGGTCAATCCCCATAAAATCTAGGAATAATCTGGTAGCCAGTGAGGGGTGCAAATAGCTGACCACATTTTTTTACGGGGCAAAAAAAGTCTTAGTCTCTCTCTCACTCTCCTCTTGATACTCTTTCCAGGTATGACAAAGGTGGGCACTTGTTTTTACCTTCTTATATCATGCGGACACATGGATCTAGGAAGCAGCAAAATGTGATGAAGAATGTTGAAGGGAAACAAATGCAGAAAGTTTATGAGGTATTGTATGTGAATTTCTGCTTTCCTTTTTCATTGTCAAGGAAGAAGCGAAGCAGTATTCCATAAAATGGATATTCTGGTTAAAAAATGATGCATTATGCCGTTATTGTATTGTTTGTAAAATTCAGGATTGACTATTAGGACTTTGTTGAGTGCTGTAATGATCAAGTTTATTATTTTCTAATTTCTTCCTTATTGGAAAAAAGGGCACAGTAGTTTCTTATTTGTTTTAGAATTTATTGTTGTTAGTGAATGGACCTTGGGCCTAGAACCCTAATCTAGTCTCTTTTCTAGTTAACCTAGCTGCCACTAATCGTAGATAGATTTGTAGATTTGAAAGCTATTAGGTATTAACTTACATTTTGAATTTTGAATTTGATTGTATCCCTAGAATTTTGGCTTATCCCTAGAATGCTGTGATCTCAGTCTCTCTTGACTGCTCCAATTTATCTATTTAATCCGCTGCCTATTCTGAATAAAGCAAGCAATATTTTGCATTTGTCTTCTACATTTACGAGAGCATTAAATTCTTTGTAAGTTCCCAAGATATCATTCAGTTTTATTACTTTCATTTATATAGTCATTATGCATTATTGCCTCTTCTTTTCTCATTTAAAGTTGTTCTTATGCATATTCCCATGTATCTCTGACCTGTTTTGCTCTGACATGATAAATTTTCAGGCCTTGGATACACTTGGACAAACCAAATGGCGAATAAATAAAAAATTACTTAGTGTTGTGGAGTCCATCTGGGCTGGAGGTGGTAACATTGCTGGCCTGGTTGATCGTAATGATGTAAGCACAATTTGATAAAGAACTTCTCTAGTTACCAAATGGAACTATATAGATTTTTGAAAAGGATGATTGTGTTAGTTTCTTCTTTTGTCTTTCTTTATTTTTATTCTATTTACCCATTGCTTTTGAAAATTATGCTACAAATCCTAATTAGAAAAAGGCTTTATGTCTTCCGGCATTACATGAATAAATAAAATAAATTTTAGATATTATCAACTTATAGAAGGTAACATCCTGAATCATTTAAACGTCTTAAACAACTTAATTTTGTTATTGTTACTCTTTTCTGAAGATGAATATTTAATTCAGATTTTATTGAGCCCACACTAATTGTGGGATAAAATCACCTTGAATAATTGTGGCTGGCTCAGAACCCTACCAACTTAGGATTTTTCTGGTTCATTCTCTGATAAAATGTAGTTGGGTTTATGTTATAATGAATTCTGGTCCCCTCCATCCCCATTTTCCATAGAGCTTAAAATGTGGTGAGTTCTAAACGCTTAGTTCCTGTCCCTCGAATTTCTCTTTTGACTTACAGGTTCCTGTACCTGAGAAGCCTTCTGTAGAGGATTTGAAACTAATTCAGGAATGGAAATGGAGTGCAAGGAAGGCAAGGAAAATTAATCTAGAGAGACATTCTCAAAGATGTGACATTGAACTTAAAATCTCTGTAAGATATCTCCTCTCGTTGTCAAAAAGTTTGCATGTCTTTAAACATTTGACAATTCCAATTTCAATTGTTACATCATTGTCCTCTGATCTTACCTACATCTTGTGAAGATGTTGATCAATGTAAACGTAGACTTGATTTCCTAATGTTTGTATCCATTATGCATCAAATTGGACCATGAATTGCATAATCTCACCTATATTTTTATAGTTATTTAATTTCTGTTCCATGTTCTATTAGATGAGCAATAATTATGAGAAAACAATCTGAAACAGGTGGCTCAAAAAATGAAAGATGAGGAAGGCTTTTATTATCCCCACAATCTTGACTTCCGTGGAAGAGCATATCCGATGCATCCTCATTTGAATCACTTAAGTTCTGATCTATGTAGAGGCCTACTTGAATTTTCTGAAGGGCGGCCCCTGGGGAAGTCTGGCCTACATTGGCTGAAAATACATTTAGCAAATTTGTATGCTGGTGGCATTGAAAAGATGTCTTATGATGGCCGCCTAGCATTTGTGGAGAATCATCTTCATGATATATTTGACTCTGCTGATTACCCTATTCATGGAAATCGTTGGTGGTTAACGGCTGAAGATCCTTTTCAATTCCTTGCTGCATGTGTTAATCTATCTGAGGCTTTAAGAAGCTCATCACCACATTCTGTGATCTCACATCTGCCAATTCATCAGGTATAGGCTTTTTGGAGCCCTTAAGGCTGGGAAAAATGGGTTTCATAACTTCTGCACATTTCTTCTATAAGTAACGAAGTTGACTCCTGGTTCTCATATTTGCATTTGTGATGCAGGGATTTTGTTTTTGTTTTTGTAGTCTTATATTGCAAATAGTTGCATCTTAATCATTTTATTTGCAATTGAAAATGTTTGTAGTTTCATATTACAAATATTTTGATCTTATCTTTTGATTTGCAGTTGAAAATGTTTACTTTATCTGGTATTTTCTAAATGTTTTCTTCATTGACTATTTTCAAGAGAAGTTATTAGTAACACAATTCTGATTAATTTTAGGATGGTTCCTGTAACGGCTTACAGCACTATGCAGCTCTGGGAAGAAACCATGTACGTTCACTTATCTTTCACTACCTGAATTTTCATAATTATAAAATATGCTTATACTTCCTGGATTTGTGGGGACTTGAGGATGATTTAATTTTGTGTGGCTTACTAGCTTCATTGACTTTTGAAAATGTCAGCATGAGGACAAAATTCTTTTATCCCTGCAACTTGGCATCATTAAACCTTTTTCTATGCTGAAAGATGGTCCCTGTTTGTGCTGAATTATTTTGGGTGATTTTTAAATCTTCATATCTCTGTGTTAAAAGACTGGCTTAATAGACCACGGTGTTGGTGGCTATCTTATCTTTCATGACCTGTTAAGTACCTCGTAGTTCCCATTTTGTCATTACATGTACTGGGTAGCAGCCTTTTGGTTAATTATGGATGTTCGTCATCTTTATTCTCATTCTGGGTTTTCTGGATCTATTTGTCATGGGACACGCTTTATACTGATGTTCTGCTTTTGAGACAATTGTAGATACCCCACTATGAAACTAAATAAACTAATTACAGTTCTATTGTAACTAAATTATTTGGTAACACTAAATGATATTCTGATATAGCTACCAATAAAAGGATGGTTAAATTGATAAGATTGTGTCTAAAATTTTTGCTGTTGCTGATTACTTTTCGCCGCACTTCTTGTTTTGTTCACTTTGCTTGTTCCTTCGCAGCCAGAGGCTGCTGCAGTTAACTTGGTTGCTAGAGAAAAGCCTGCTGATGTTTACTCGGAGATTGCGGTTAGGTATGTCAATTCTTTGTCTGCAATTTTTGTTTTTCATCGAAACCTCCATTCCATGCTACATTATTTTGAAGGAAAATTGCAATAAAGTTTAAAAGCAAACAAGTCCCTCGAAATCATCAAATTATTTTGAAGTCTCAAGGGACCTCATTGCAAAATATTTTATTTTTTTAATTACCAAATTGCCCTTTTTTAAAAAAAAATTTTTTTTGCATTGACAACTGAAAGAGCAGTTGTTAACAACTTAAAATGTAAAGATTAACAACAATCGCAGTAGGTATTAACAGCACATTACAAAAGTATAATGCATGAGTTGTCAATAGCTATCGCAATTGTTATTAATCCTTACACCTTAAGTTGTTAACAACTGCATTTTCAGTTGTCATTGCATACTTTAAAAAACAGATAAGGGCAATTTGGTAATTAAATAAATGGAATCTCTTGCAATGAGGTCCCTTAGGACTTCAGAATAATTTGATGATTTCAAGAGATCTTTTTGTATTTAATTCTCTTGGGTGGGACCTGATTGCAATTTTGCCTATTTTGAACTCAATTTTGATTGCAAAATGAATTGTTTTCACACCTGCATTGTTCATGTTTGAGGCCATCATTAGGATAGCCGCTTGTTTGTTAGCATCTCTTATTTCAGTCACCTGCTTTGCTTGATTTCTCCTGCGCATGAAAGAAGCTTTATGGTCTATCATCCATTGTCCATACGGTCAATTATTGTGCAAATAGCTATGTATAATTGATATTATATTGTCTCTTTAATTGTATGTATTGGCACTTGCGCAGGGTTCATAATATTATGAGAAGGGACAGCAACAAAGACCCAACTACCTATCCGAATGCTTTATTGGCAAAGCTTTTAATTGATCAGGTCAGTCCTCTTTTTAAATGTTGAAAGTTGTGTTATTTGATGAAATTATGCTCCAGAAGTTAGCAATAATCTCTTTCTTCTTACTTCTAATTGTTGGAAGCTTTCAGGTTGATAGGAAACTCGTCAAGCAGACTGTGATGACGTCAGTTTATGGTGTTACTTTTGTTGGGGCACGAGAGCAAATAAAAAGAAGGTTACAGGAAAAAGGACTCATAACTGATGACAGAATGCTTTTTACTGCTGCCTGCTATGCTGCCAAAGTAAGCAGCCATATAAATATGGAAGGATTAGTTCATTGCTATTAGATATAGTAACAGCTATCTTGATAAGTAACTCTTACCTGTACTATCCTTTTGGAATGTTTGGTTGAATAGAAAATTATTCCTTTTAAAAAGAAGAAAGAAATATGATGTTATGACCCAAACCAGAAACTGTAAATCCCCTCCTGCATTATGGCAGACTTCACGCAGAAGTAAAAATAAAAAAGCTAACTCAGTAAATTCATAAAACATACTACTCTGTTACACATTCAGACACACAAATAGGAGGGATAATGATTACACATATAAATTGATACTCAACAGAGAACAAGAACAAAGATACAAGCCACACACGCAGTTACAACTCTCTAAAACAGAACAAGCTTGCCAAACTTTCGAGAGGTTGGCACTCTACAGCCCAAGGGCCTAAACCACACTTCAAAAATCTTCTCTGCCTCTCCCGCTCAACCCAACGAAAGATTTATAGACCTCAAAAAGTGACCCTCACAATACCCAACTTAGCCTTCTCATAGCCTTTGACCACACTCAACTATAGCTTCCCTATTTGTCTATTTCTTTCTCCAACAGCAAGTCAACGTTCTGACCAGCAAAAAGTATCTTTCCCTTTTCATGTATTTCCTAAGTTTCCAAAAGTGATCCTAACATATAACTCTTTCGAATACTCTTTGAAGACCTTAAATCTGGCAAACCCTTCCATGCTGAAGCTAAAATGGAGTCAACCAATCAAACACTTCGTGATAAGTTGAAAAAGTTGATTACAAGTGAGTCATATCCGGACTTCTGAATTGATTATCCTTTACTTTCTAAAGGTGACATTGGCTGCTCTTGGAGAAATATTTGAAGCTGCACGGGGTATTATGGGTTGGCTTGGTGATTGTGCAAAGGTATGCTCTCTTATCACCTGTTGGATTTCCAGTGATGCTGATGTTGTTTTGGTCTTTCAGATTTGGAGTTTGTGGGTGTGACTCTTTTCTGCAATTCCGTTGTGTATAACTTGCATAGGTGATTGCTTCTGAAAATCAGCCTGTTTGTTGGACCACTCCTCTTGGTCTGCCAGTTATACAGCCATACTGTAGATCTGAACGTCATCTGGTGAGCTTCTCATGCACAGCTTTTTCCCCTATTGTTTTTAAGAAACTTACTTTCCTTAACAATGACAAAGTGTCAAACTAGTTAAGTAGTCAGTGGACTATCTATTTTCTTCTAGTTTTTGTTGTACTGTTTTGCTGTTTATGTTGAAACACCACGCTGATTATTCTCACATGGGCTGCAGATCAGAACATCACTCCAGGTTTTGGCTTTGCAGCGGGAGGGTAGTGCAGTAAGTAGACACATTTCTCTTGTTCCTTGTGTTTTCTACTTTCAGGATGGTTTTTTCATTTGCCAAATCTATCTTGATTGCAGATAGATATCAGGAAACAGAGAACTGCCTTTCCTCCAAACTTTGTACATTCACTTGATGGTTCACACATGATGATGACTGCTCTTGCCTGCGGGGATGCTGGCTTACGTTTTGCAGGTTTGAAGACATAACATTACCAAATAAATCATGTACATAATATGTGAAACTTCTATTTAAACAAATATTTAATATTTGTTTCTCAGAAAAAATGTAAGCATTTTTCTGCTTTCTGCTTGGATATGCTTCAGTTTACTTTCACTGTCATTGCGTAATTGTTTTCAGAAGATATTGGCATAAAATTGAAATTGATACATTATATTTATGAAAGACTTGTACTTTTTTAAGGAGTAATGTTGCAGTTTAGTTTTGCTTTGAGAGAAGTTTATAATTTTGGCTTTTAGAAGCCCCTTGGTTCAATTTCCTCCGGAGGATATGTCTATATAACTTATTTGTAATGGTTATTGATTTAGCATCTATTTTGTTTAGGAAAAGTTTTTGGATTATTAAATTTATGATTTTCAATATACATAGAATGGAGGAAGTCTTTTTATAGGGGGTCTTTGTAGTTTTCAATGAATTGTGGGTCTGCCCTCCGTTTGTAGCAGCTGTACTGACTAGTTTTAGAGGCTCCGATAGGAGCAAAGGAAGCAAAGTCTTGTCATGGACTGGACGTGTTTGATACTTGGGGCTAATCGGTTTATGTGGTTGGAGCATCATACTTGAGTGCTCACTTTCTAAGTGCCTCATCTTCAAGATTTGTCTCTCTCTTCCTGTTTCACAAGAAGAGTAGCCTTTTTGGCGTTTTTGTGGGGTTCAACTCATGGTTATTACTGGGGAATTTCCTTGTCAGATGTGCAGAAAAGTTAATCACTTTAATGTGGTGATTTTTCTTTTTCTCTTTGTTTTCCTCATCAGCTTGATTAGGAGAATGTTTGATTCTACACTCTGATACACTTTCTCTTTTAGGTTTGACTTCATTTTTCTACATCGGTTCATCCTTTTAATTGCATACATCCTCCTTAATTTTTTAATTGATCATACTGCCTCTTGATCCTTAACCGGAAGGGGAAAAAAATAAAAAGGGAAGAATAAAGTTTTCACTGTGTTTTTTCTAAGTGGAGATTATTATCTACAATAAAATTGCTTGTTACAAAATTCCTCTCTTTTTGCTGAAAATTGTTTTTCAATTTCTCTTTTGCTTGATGGAGGTTTAAGTTCAGACCTCAAATAAATTTGTACTCCTCTGGTCCATAGTAGGGGATCTAGTTGGAGAGTTGATATTAGTCCTATATGTAAGATATGATTCACAGTTTATCAATTTTTTTT